ATAAATCGTGTGTCCTGTGTGCTGCATCCCAGAACCATCCTTGGGGTGTGGCCAGGCACAGGGAAAAGCAGTTAGTAATTGCTAACTAAGGATGTATGCTGTGGGACCAGCAGGTGGCATGATGGTTGGAGTGCTGAACTCCCATATGGCCAGCCTGTGGTTTGATTCCTGGATCCGGTGGCTTGCTTTCTTATTTTCCCTCTGGTGAGCATATGTGCCCTATAACAAATAATAATAATAATTAGTATAAGTAAAATTAAATAAGTAATTCTTTTTTTAAAAAAATTTACATGGCAAGAAATCTGACAAATACAAGGATGTTGTGCAGTGCACAGACAGGAATTGGAGCTGGCTGGTGGCTCAGCGGTAAAACATCACACTCTGTGAGGCCTTCCCACATGGGAAGGCTCCTGGTTTGCATCTGGAGATCTCCATAGGTGTGCCAGGTGTGCAGGTGCCCATGCTCTGGGCTGGCTGAAGCTCGGGGTGCATTGCAATGTCTAGACCCCATTGAGGCTGCTGTTTTTATGTCTCTCTTGTCATATAAGAACGACTCACGCTTAAAAACAAAAGTAGGAAATGCACCTCTCTTCTCCCAAGGGAGCTAAAGTTGGCATCGGCAGGAACTTTCTTCTTTCCACTTATTCCCTGTCCCAGCCTATCCCAGGAGACCAAGGCAGTCTAAAACTCTGGTGCATGTTCTAAGGTTTTAAAGTAGTGGCTCAGCATTGCTGTGACCCTGAAAGCCTTGTTTGCACGGTCATCTCTAACTTGCCGCGGTGCTGGCTAATTACATAGTGCTTTCCATCTGCAAGTCTGGAAACACACTGTACAATAGACGAGAAGTCTTTAATTCTCCTCGCACTCTGCCGGCATGCCTGGGGGCTTAGTTGTGCACTGGTCTGGTTACATCTCATCTGGTGAGCTTTCCTGAAGGTGGCAGAGATGGCAAAGTGACACCCACTCTTCAGAGGGACAATCTGTGCCGCCAGAAGAAAACCTGCAGTTGCCGTAAAGGGAGAATCCGAAGGGTGAGTCGGGTCCTGACTTCATCCAGTGGGTGATCCTGGCCTCTTCGGGACAGCCAGATACTACGAGTTTTGATTGCAGACTGGACTGCTGGGATCATTCGGACATTCTTTAGCTATTAAAAGGTGCAGAGTTTTGTTTCTGACTAACACTATCTGTTCCTGACATCTCAAAGAGAAAATCTATCACTTCTTTGCCATCAGTTTTCATAGTTTTGCTTGTTTGTTTGTTTAGTTCATTCTTGCAAAGATCTAGTTTTTCTTCTTTGGTATCAATTTTCATAGTTTTGTGTGTTTTGTTTTGTTTTTGGTTTATTCTTCCTAAAAATATAGTTTTTCTCCTTTTACTCCTTTTCTCCAAAGAGTGGAATACCAAATAACCTTGAAATTTACACTAGTGAATTTCAAAAGTTGGATCAGATTTTTTTTTTTTTTTGAGAAGCTTTTTGCTATAGGGTGCATGCGCTCGCCAGAAAGTCAGAGAGAGACAGACAGACAGAATGCGAGAAATCACCCCCCAGGGGGGATAGCCATGCCACAATCCCTTCTCCTCCTTTCTCCTCTCGGGATCTTGGGCATGCACGCACACGCGCCTGGTGTGAGTTTAAGCCACTGGGTCTGGGACTCGAACCGCGGTCGATTACATGGGAGTCCAGTGACATAGCCATTACGCTAACTGCTGGTCCCAAAAGCTGGATCAGATTTTAAAGAGACTTACAGAACAGAACAAAGTGACACCCTACAGTTTTCAGTTTATCCATAGCCTTAACACAATGTTTCCGTTAACTAACACGATTTCAATCTATTATGCAAATATACCAATTATCCCATTAAAAATTCTGCTGGAAAGACCACATACTTTGTTTTCACAGTACAATAAATTGTATCAAATGGCCCCTTTTTGTTTTCTGATTTGCTTATTTTGTCTTTAATGACAACCTATTTAAAGCAAAAAGTCTTTAAAGTGAAAGAATAACGTGATAACATGTCTTCGCTGATAATTTAATACTTGGATATAATGAGTTCATCTGAAAGATTTCATTAAAAACAGCAAGGTGCCTGAACACCAAAGCAGAGATGTTTTTAATCACAGAATTATAGTAATTATACAAATCCCAAGATTTTCATCAGACAGAAAATGCTTTCGGGGCTAAACGTACACTTTAAACTTAGCACTAATGACTGTGTATTGTTCTAAATTATAGTACAGAGAGTTCTCGAACCTAGGGAAATATTAGAGATGGGTATGTGTTGTTTTTTTAAAGAAAGTTGAGGACTAAACTATTTTGATAGCCTAGTGGTCCCTGGAGGAGGCACACCCCCTGGGTGTTGGGAGAGGGGCCCCGTGTGTGTGCAGAGCAGGTGAACATTCACACCAAGCCAGCGAGCCTGCCGTCACCCGCCTGTCTCCAGGATAGAGTGGATGGGGAGGACTTACCCCCGCTTCTCCAAAGGCTCCGGAAGCTGCTGATGGACTGAGCTGGACTTTTCTTCCCATCAAGAATGGGACAGACCATCAGTAAAGCAGATGATTATTAGCTCAGAGTGTGGATTTCCAGGTCAGATGAAGATGCTATAGAGGATTCAGGATGGGCCTCGGTGGTGCAGCGTGCTACAGCATCCGTGATGCCGAGATCCTGGGAAGGTCCTGGGTTCACGTCCCAAGGTCTCCCTGTACAGAGCAGCCATACACATGCCATGCTCCCTGCTGGCTGGCTGAGCTAGATGTGGGTAGTGGAGTCAAGACCTCATTGGGGTACTCACTCTCTCTAAAGAAAGAATTTTTTTTTATAAAGAATACTTTGGTTATTGTGAGGATTATTAGAGATGCCAAGTCTTTTTTGTTGTTTTTGGTTTTGTTTCTGTTTTTGTAATAGGGTGTATGTTCTTGTCAGACAACGAGAGAGTGAAACACCCCCGGGGGAAATGGCCACACCGCATCCCTTTTCCTCCATTCTGTTCTCCTGACTTTGGGCATGCATGCACACACACCTCACGTTTTTCCAGCTGCCGGGTCCAGGACTCAGCCCGTGTTGTCGGCCATGTGGGATCCAGTGCTGACCCAAAAGGTCCAATTTTTATGAAATGGCAAAGGCACTGTATCGTTAGGGAGCTTGTGTTTAAGAGAAGTGATAGGCAAAGATACGTTTCAGAAGGTTTTGTAAAAATATCCCCCAAGAAGAAATTGTGTTTGCTCTACTTTCTATTAATCATCCTTTGAGTTGGTCGTTTATTTCTCTGGCTGAGATGAGTGGCGTAGAAGAGAAACGGGGATGGAGGGAGAACACTGAAAAGGCAGGGATGCCTGTGATGGGGGTAAGGAGGGTGCCCGGCAGGCAGCTGGCTCCTCTGCCCTATGAGGATTTGGGTTGTGTGCAGAGGGTGTGGAGGCCCTGCAGTCTACCTACCTGAGGGTGGTGGCTGCCTGGAGGCACGCGGCATCAGTGTTTCTCATCGCTGTCCTTCTCCCAGCCTCACCCTGAGAGTGAGCTAGAACAACTGTCCCCGTCCCGACCCAGTGTGTCCCTCCCCGCCTCTAAGTGCTTCCACCTCCTGGTCAGAAGGCAGGGAGACCACTGGAGCCACTCTCAGGCCTGACCTGGTCTCCCTGTACAGAGCAGCCATACACATGCCATGCTCCCTGCTGGCTGGCTGAGCTAGATGTGGGTAGTGGAGTCAAGACCTCATTGGGGTACTCACTCTCTCTAAAGAAAGAATTTTTTTTTATAAAGAATACTTTGGTTATTGTGAGGATTATTAGAGATGCCAAGTCTTTTTTGTTGTTTTTGGTTTTGTTTCTGTTTTTGTAATAGGGTGTATGTTCTTGTCAGACAACGAGAGAGTGAAACACCCCCGGGGGAAATGGCCACACCGCATCCCTTTTCCTCCATTCTGTTCTCCTGACTTTGGGCATGCATGCACACACACCTCACGTTTTTCCAGCTGCCGGGTCCAGGACTCAGCCCGTGTTGTCGGCCATGTGGGATCCAGTGCTGACCCAAAAGGTCCAATTTTTATGAAATGGCAAAGGCACTGTATCGTTAGGGAGCTTGTGTTTAAGAGAAGTGATAGGCAAAGATACGTTTCAGAAGGTTTTGTAAAAATATCCCCCAAGAAGAAATTGTGTTTGCTCTACTTTCTATTAATCATCCTTTGAGTTGGTCGTTTATTTCTCTGGCTGAGATGAGTGGCGTAGAAGAGAAACAGGGATGGAGGGAGAACACTGAAAAGGCAGGGATGCCTGTGATGGGGGTAAGGAGGGTGCCCGGCAGGCAGCTGGCTCCTCTGCCCTATGAGGATTTGGGTTGTGTGCAGAGGGTGTGGAGGCCCTGCAGTCTACCTACCTGAGGGTGGTGGCTGCCTGGAGGCACGCGGCATCAGTGTTTCTCATCGCTGTCCTTCTCCCAGCCTCACCCTGAGAGTGAGCTAGAACAACTGTCCCCGTCCCGACCCAGTGTGTCCCTCCCCGCCTCTAAGTGCTTCCACCTCCTGGTCAGAAGGCAGGGAGACCACTGGAGCCACTCTCAGGCCTGCCCTGCGAGGGTACACACGGGGGCACCAGGGGCTCGCTCCGTCACATCCACCCCTGCTAGCTGGCCCTGGCGGAAAAGAGAAGTCCCTGCTGGCAATTTCAGTGTCATTAACGTTGTTGTTTTCCCTTTAACGGTTGAAAAATGGACCATTCTGGAGAACTGCAAGATGCAGAGGGGGAGAAAAAGAAAATGAGAAATATCACTCTTAATCCCTGTGGCCAGAGAGGATTATTGCTCCCGTTCGCTGTCTCTCCTTGCAGCTTGGCCTCCCCGCCCCCTGTTCGTCCTGTGGATGCACACCAGCGCTGGGCTTTACGTCCGTACCTATCAGGAACGTCCGTACCTATCAGGAGCGTTTTCCAAGTACCTCCCCGGAAGCCCGCTGAATATGGGTGCTGCTACCTTGATTACGTATTCCTGTCTTTTGTGTCTTTTCCAGGTCTCCCCAGTGTCCCCGCGCATCAGGAAGACTGCGATGGGAATGGGTGTGACCCCGAGGTGTCCTGTCACTCATTGCCTCTGCCGGGATCCTCCTTCGGACGTTGGAAAGCTGCACCGCCTGGTGGTTGCCTCCAGGAGGCCGGCCGTGATCTGAAGGCAATGGATGAGGGCCGCCCAGGGGGCCCTGACCGCATGCTTGCCAGGGTCTAGTCGAGGGACACCCTTCCTGGACCCTGGCCTCCTGGGATGCCCCGGCCTGGACGCCCCCTGATTCCCGAGTGACGATGGTGCGCCGGGGGCTGCTCGTGTGGGTGTCTCGCGTGGCGGTGCTGCTGCTGCTGCTCTGCTGCGCCGTCTCGGTCCTGTACATGCTGGCCTGCACGCCCAAGGGCGACGACGAGCGCCTGGGGCTGCCCAGGGCCAACGGGCCGACGGGCAAGGACGGCTACCAGGCCGCGCTGCAGGAGTGGGAGGAGCAGCACCGCGACCACGTGGGCAGCCTGAAGAGGCAGATCGCGCAGCTCAAGGCCGAGCTGCAGGAGCGCAGCCAGCAGCTGGCGGAGGGGCAGCAGTCCCGGGGCCCCCCGGAGAGGACGCAGGCCGACCTCCTGGCCTTCCTGCGCTCCCAGGTGGACAGGGCCGAGGTGCACGCTGGTGTCAAGCTGGCCACCGAGTACGCCGCGGTGCCCTTTGACAGCTTCACTCTGCAGAAGGTGTACCAGCTGGAGACCGGCCTGACCCGCCACCCCGAGGAGAAGCCCGTGCGGAAGGATAAGCGCGATGAACTGGTGGAGGCCATCGAGTCGGCCTTGGAGACCCTGAACAGCCCTGCGGAGAGCAGCCCGAACCAGCGCGCATACACGGCCTCGGATTTCATAGAAGGTTGGCATTCGGCGAAGGGGGGAATGGAAGAACAGGGGTCTGGGGTGGGCCTGGACAGTTCCCACTATGGAGGCTGGCAGTTGTTCTGGGTGTGCAGGTAGAAGGTAGCATGTGGGTGACCCCAAGGGCATGGCAGGGGTTCGGTTTCCACTTAGAGTTGGCAAAAACCAGTCATTGAGTGGATAGTTTCCTTGTTTTTTGGCAGAAGAAGGTGGAACTTCTTGCTTTTGTTTAAAACAAACAAACAAAAAGAAAGAAAATAAAACGTAAAACTTTGAAACACAAATAGAATGTGATGGGCAGTGGAAATGTTACCCCTTCTCATAGGCTCCTGTAGGGACTGGGACAAACAGGAGGACAATACCAAGCATGCAGCCGTGCCCTGACCCGTGCTAGGCATTGTTCTAGAAATGGTATACCATTAATTCACTCTCCCTCACACCACCTCCCTGGGGATGAGGAAATGGAGGTACACATTACTTAGGAAAATACTTACAGTTGTTTAGGTAGCAGGTGGCGGAACCAGGACTTGAACTGAGCAAGTCTTAACCCCAGAGTCCTTGTTCTTCACTACTACACTATCGCACAGATTGTCAGAGCTCATGGAAGCCAGTGAGATGGCTAGCCCAGCTCTAATTCATAGGCTCAGGTCCACCTCGTATTCCTTTGTGTCTGTGTCTCATTTTTGAAGACAGCGTTGTCCCCGTTCTTGGAAGACCCATTCGTATCTTACTAACGTCCCTGTTGTCACTGCTCTGCTGTTAACCTTCAGGAATTTGGGAGAAGCACCTTCAAGGGAATCTGGTCCTTTCCCTTGTTTCTGGGTAGAATGGGCTTCACTAAGCCCACTCCTGACTTGGGTCACGCCATCCCAGGGCCCTACAGGCAGACAGACGCAGCCACATCAGAACCCTTCCTGCTGCTGGTTAGGCCTGTTCTCTCGGGCACATTCTGGTCACGTGCTGTTTCCCACTTCATGTTTTAGCCATAAATTTATAGCATTTTACTGTCACGTCATTTTTCCATATACCTAGAGCCAGGTAAAGAAGTTTTACAAGATCAATCTTTGGAGTGAGGATTTCTTATTTACTTATTTATGTGAGATATTAAAAATGTCTAGAATATTCAACATCGAAATCAGTATAAGCACCAAGAGCTCCAATGATGATAACGAGGTCACGCCACATATTATAGTACTTTATAGTTTATGAAGCGTTTCTACATATATTATCTTACTAGCCACCTCTAGGGAAAATCGTTAAACATAATGGGGAAAAAAACAAAAACAAACAAACAAACAGACTTGGCTGCCACCCTCCTCGGAGTGTGCGATATTGAGCTGCCCACACACAAAGCCGTTTCCAGAGAACTTGATTGCGAACCAGTGCCTGCAATTAGAAATGTTTGCTCTTGGGATTTTCAGTCTGCATTCTTTTTGAGTCCCAGTCTGGCTTTTCTGGGTACTGGTTCTTAATATGCAAGGTTTGTATCTCAGTCAGCAGGGGCACCACCTCTTGCCCCTGGGCTGATTTGCTCTGAGCTCTGGCTCACTTCCTTTTAGAGACTGTGTCCTGATAGTCCCCCAGTGCTCCACTCATGTGTGGCACAGGGCTGACACTTTAAGGCAGATCCGTCCATGTGCATTTTCCAAACTTAGTGAAAATCTAGTCTACTGTTTTCATGTGATGAGTGAATAAAGACACTTTGAATATTAATACATATTTTATTTATTAATATAAATGTTAATTATTAGTAAATAATAAACATGTATCTGTATTTGTTAATACAGATTTGACTGTCAAATGCAACATCCCTTATTTCATACAAAAATTTCTAATCAATAACAATCCATAGACACTTTAAATATTCATACATAATTATATTTATTGATATATTAATTCAATAGTAGTAAATATGAATAAATATGTATCTGTACTTATTAATACCGATTTGACTGTCAAAAGCAACATCACTTATTTCATACAAGAATTTCTAATCAAAAACGAGGTGATCACCTCCATCCTCTTTTGTTATTGGTTAGAATTTTTTGTCCCAGGCAGTGGGATGTTATGAAAGACTTGGAAGGCCCTTGCTGACGGAAGCTGCAGAGAGGTAGAATTAAGTACTATGGAAGGAATACCTTGAAAAATGATGTTTCAGAACAGAGATTCCTGTCACTACATGAATTCTGTCACCTGCTGAATGTCCACATGGCCAGGAGGCACCAGGGAGGTGGCTGGCCTGAATCACACTTGAGGACCTTTCCGATCCTGCTTCACCGTTCTTCGGTCCACACCTCGTTAAGGAGAACGGAGGGACTGGAAAGGTCCAATTTGAGATCTTTTAGAATGAGTGAGGCAAGCGGTAAGGCCTTCCAAGGGTGACGTATATATGGTTAAAATAAACAATTTGGGCCTCTAAAGCTAACGTCAGAGAGAGTGGTTTTGCGTTTGGAGTTCCCGTCTTCCAGAGGTTGGAGCGATTTAGTGATGTGCACAGGAACATTTTAGGTCGGAAGATAGGGAGGTGTCATACTCTCAGTCCAAATGAAGGCCACAGGTTTGCTGCACTAGGAGGATGGTGAGGAGGAGCCCTGGCGTTTGAGGGGATAACAGTAAAGCCTATAAGGTACCTCCAGGTGGTCATAGTAATGCTGCAGGCTGACTGTGAGGCGGGGAACTGTGTGACTACCCTATGGCAAATTTAAAAACAAAATAATAGTGCAATTAAATCATTCTTTTTTAAAAAATCAGCTCTCTGGATTTTCCCCTTGCCCGTCCTGAACATAGAACAACGGGACTCCCACATGAGGCATTGCATTTACCCTCCATGGGGGTGGCCCTCGCTACCAGCCGGTGCAGCTCGCCAGCCTCTGCGGGGTTGGTGGGATGATGTGAGCATGCCCGGTGCCAGAGGACTTGATTTGGGCATAGACGGGGGTGCAGACATTCCTGGGCATTTCCCAGTATCTGGGGCATCTGAGTTCTGGATAGGGAAGAACGGGACTTCTGAGCAGTGGGTGAGTTTCACTGTGTTTGGGTGTGCTGGGGAACACCACCAGCAGGCAGGACAGCAAAATGATGCCAGGTCCTGAGCGAGGTGTTGAAACTCTGAGCCAGCATCTCCGGCAGAACGAGGGCAGCGGAACTTGGACAGTCCTGACAACGGGACCATGGTTTACAGTGACCTTACCAGCAGGCCTGTGTGAAACTGGGTTCCTCTCTGCCTCATGGTACCCTCTGCCCCAGGGCCCCCTCTGTCCTACTGTCTCTCTCAAATCTCATTTGTTTGCTGATGCTTCAAGTTCCTATAAGGACAGAGAAATGCTTTTTATTCCAGAATTAGAAATAAGAGGCTTACATGCAAATAAATGGCTTGAGGCTGCCCTTTGTAGTGTGAATTCTTCCTCCTGGTGATGGCGAGAAAGAATGTGGCCCAGCCTTAGGCTTCTGCCAAGGGCCAGGGCTCCAACCCCCGGGGCCCTCCCTCAGGGCCCTGCAGTCAGCAGAGCCTTGTGCTAGAAGGAACATTCTTCTCTTGCAGAATATTTTGAATTTTTAAGTAAGTCTTGAGAAAGGGCACCCATATTTGTACTGTGCATATTTTTATTGTCTGTCTAGTCCTACTCTCCCAGTGGAGAAGACTGAAGGGAGTTCCAGGTTATCTGTGCACACCAGGGGTGTCCATGACACTGACTGGCTGGGAGGCTGGGGAAGGATCATGGCATGGAACCCTATTAAGGGCACCTGACTTGCTCTTTCTCTCTCTCTCTCATGGAAGAAAAAACAAAAACAAAAACAAACTAAGGTACACACATTACTCCTTACAGATAGGCTTTGCTGTTATGATTTTCACTGTGAATTACTTGTTCGATCGGAGGACAGTTTCCAAAGACATAGCACCATAAATACTACTTGAGCTCCTGGGGAGACCATGAACCTGATTTAGAATTCAGACTTGGAGCCAGACAGTGGTGCAGAGGTGAAGTGTGATGTTTCGTGAGCCGGTCTCACTTGGGAGGGTTCCCTGTTCAGGGCTGGAGACCTCCAGTGTGCTGGCTTCTTTAGAGAGTTATTTTCTTTTTCTGTCTTAGGTCGCCCTAGTACATTCTCTGCGTAATACCTAACAATAAAACTACTTTTTGTTTTTAAAGACTTTTTACTTTGATATAGTTTTAGAATGATCATAGAGTGGCAAAAATAGGTCAGAGGGTCCCTGTATCGCCTTCACCCAGCTTCTCCTGATGTCAGCATTTTACATAATCGGTGACCCAGTATCAAAACTGGGACAGTAACATTGGTACGGTACTGTTACCTGAATTACGCCTCTGTGTCATTTGGTTTTGTTTTTTTCTAAACTTCTTAGATCTGTGGCTTATAGTCTGTCATTTATTTGGGGAACTTTGGAGCCAGCGTTCGGTGTTTCTTTGCCCTGTTCTTCCTGGAATTGTAGCTAGTGTATATTCCATGCGGCTTACCACGCCCTCAACTCCTGGAAGTTGTTTCTTGGTTACTTTTCCTTTTCTGTTCTGTTTCAGTCTGTGTGGATTTTTCTGACCCACCTCAAGGTAACCGATGCCTTCCTCTGCTGAGACAAGCTCCAGGCGAGACGAGCTCCACATGTGGCTGTGGAAAGATTCGTCTTTATCTCTATGACTGTAATTTTCGTTTCTAGCATTTCCATTTGACCCTTGTAATTGCCATCTCTGCTCCGTGGCCATCTGATCTCGCACGCTGTCTTCTTTTTTCCACTAGGGCCTCTAACATGCTAATCACAGCTATTGAAATTCCCTGTCAGGTATTTGCAGCATCGATATCATTTCTGAGTCTGGTTCTGATGACTGCTTTGTGTCTTTTTGTTTATCTGGTTTTGCCTTTTAGATTAAAAGCTGGGCTCTTTGTTTTTTAGAGAGAGATTTTGGCTCTAGTGCATGTGTGCTTGCTGGAAAGACAGAGAGAGGCAGGAAGACAGGAAGTGGGAAATCACCCCCCCAGGGAGAT